TTTTTTTTTTTTTTTTTTTTTTTTTTTTTTTTTTTTTGCCTTGTGGTGACTTCTGAAGCTTCCAGTTTGTGATCCCTGCCCATGAGTTCTGGGTTTCTTGCTCCATGTAGAGAACTGATTTCATTGCTTTTAATTTGTAAAGCAAATCATATTTCTCAATATTTAATGGGTAACTAAGGCAGTTCAGAACCATTTGTGTAGCCTCCATGACTCTGCAACCATGACATCTGCTGGACAAAAAGATTATTACATCTAAACAATTGACCAGATCATATAACAGGTAATTAATAAATCAATATGGCAGACTACATTAATATTGAAACTTTTAGTAACTTTGTTGCTAATACTATGGATTGCATTCTGGGAGGATTATATGGTTATGGTGATACTTCAATTCATTGGATTTTGGGAGCCGTTTTTTTTCTTCATATTCTGTAATTAAGAAAGTATGTGATTTTTAGGTTGTTTTTTGTTGCTTTATGTTTAAAAACCACTTATGAGTGAGTATCTGATAATTGTCTTTCTGTGTCTGGGTTACCTTACTCAAAATAATGTTTTCTAGCTCCATCCATTTTCCTGAAAAATTCACAATAAATTGGGAGCATGAGGACATTGGAGGAGGGCTGAAGGGGAGGGAAGGGAGCCAGCTAGTTCACAGGATTAATACCATCAAAAATTAAAAGTTACCTGAAAAAGTTAATACTATTCAAAAGGATAACATTAATTTGACAGACAAAATTGAATCCATATCTAAAGATATTGAGAAATTATCTGAAAGAATTTATAATGTTGAATTTGGCAATCGAAATTTATTAAAAGGTTATGATAGGTTAGCAGTTTCCAGTATGGCAATCTGCATACTATCTAAGTAATGTCCAAGGATGAGGTGTTTAAAAGAGAAACTTTAAACTTTAGAATCTCATGTGCAGAATGAGGACCAGAGGCTAGGTGCCTCAATGAAATCACTAGAAATATATACCAGCTAAGAGATTCAGGCTTTATAAAAGGCAAAAGTAAAAAGATTTGACATGATTGAGGAAATTATTAGAACTGATGAACAGAAAAAGAAGGCACAAGGAGAGGATTCAATATCACCAATACTTGTCAGAGATGACTTACCAAGGTTTTAGCTTCTTTCCTTGTAATCTATTCTGACAAAGCATCAAATTTTAAAGGGCTAAAAGGATCCAAAGAAGCTGGACAGGTACCTAAAGGAATGAACAATCTAAAAGAAATTTAGCAAGCTGTTGTAACTTATGGTTTTCATTCCACATTTGTTAGAGAGATGATAAAGATTTGGGCTTCTAGCAGCAAGGTAATACAACATGATTGGATTCAGTTAGTTTCAGCAGTCCTGGATGCTGGGCCCCAGTTGATATTTAAATGTTATTTCAGGCAAGAAGCAAAAATTTTGCAATGACAGTGAAAAGCAAAAGGTCTTGAGACTTACCAAGATCAAATTTTTGGTGAGGGCACTTATGCTGACCCACAGCTTCAAGCTCTTTATGATGAACAAATCTTGTTCCTATGCAAAAAAAAAAAAAAGAAGAAGAAGCCATAAATGCTTGGGGAAGAATACAAGAACTAGGAATACTAATTGAATTATATACCATGGTTAAAAATGGCCAAAGAGAACCCTTTAGTGACTTTTTTCAAAGATTAACAAAGGCTGTATATATAGGAATAACTGACCCAGATGCTAGATGAGTACTTACTGAATCGCTGGCTTTTGAAAATGCCAATGTAGAATGTCAAAAAATACTTGGGACTTTAAAGGTTAAATTAGCACCTATGGCTGAATGGATTCTGCATACAATGAACATTGAAACATTGGACTATAATATTGAATCTCAAGTAGGCAAAGCAATTTCCAAAGGAATGAGGAGACATCAAAATGCCAAATGTTTTAATTGTGGTAAAATAGAACATCTGACAAGGGATTGTAGACAAGGAATTTCTAGGAAAATTATCTCCTCTGGGAATTGTAAGGCTAGGAGGACGCAGCCTTCAGGTATACATAGAAAGTGTGGCAAAGACCAACACTGGACCAATGAATGCAGATCAACAAAAAACAGACAAGGCAATCTCATACCATCAGGAAACTCCTTGAGGGCCTCTTGCAGTCCCAAAGGCAAAAGTGGCCCAGTCATTCCTAGTCACTGTGGAGTACTTATCTCCTCATGAACTCTCACTGGACTTGCATCTGATGGTGGTTTTCTTCCCTGCTGACACAGCAAGGAAGGATGGGGACTGGGTCAGCACAAAATCTGCACAGACACCTGCAATCAGGAATTCCAATGATCATGTATAATAATAAAAGCACAGAATTCAATACTTATGAATTTGTC